CAGGGTTTTTTTCCTCACATTTTGATGATCAACATCACTGCAGTATGATCTTTACATGCCTCTTGTTCATGTACATGCCTCTTGTACAAGTCTGTAGAATATAAAATCCCTCCTGATAATCAAAATAAAGCTTCATGGACAGAGAAGAATTATTATACAACCACAGAAAGGACATGCACAAAATTATGATGATTTTTTTTCTTTTTTAAACATGAGAAGTGTAACTTCATTAGAAAATTGTGTAAACATGTTTAGAAGTAAAAAGGGACAAAAATTCAAGTCTTGAATATGCTTTGCAGCATATTTTGGAGGTCAGCAGGCAGAGACTGTCTTAGATTGAGATAAATACTTCTAAAGATGAAAAGTTATCAGAAATGATCGTCACCTCCACTTTGGTGCACTCAGGAGGGGAATGCAGATCCCATGCTTTGGCTTGGTAGTAAACATACCATCATGGGCTGGAGCACCACAGCCTATGAGCAGGAGGGCAAAAACTGCATGTGCAGTTTAGATACAAATGCTGATTATGGAAGTCGCCTTGTTACAGAGAAGCACTGTGCCCTGGGGTGCCTTCTGTAGTTGCATGTCTCTGTAGTGACCTAAACAATGTGTCCCCCAGCAGCCGCTGCAGGAACCCCCTCCTTGGGTAGGATGAGAGGGAGGACCTGTGTAACTGCAGGAAGACTTCTGCTCCATTAGAGCTATAAGAATATTTGTCTGCCATATGTACTGTATACAAGTGCTCATTTTAAAGAAGGTTTAATCTCCTCAACCTCTGCATTAATCCTTGATTCTCTTTCATTATATTCCTACAGACCAGTCCGGGGTATTTTCTGGCATCGAAAAAGTCTTAACTTTGCTGGGTTTGGTCTGGTTTGACAAGCTCCTGTGTATCCATTTTCATCTTTTATTTACTGTCAGAAATCTGCTAAATATGTGAGGCCGAAAAAACCCACCAGTGTTTAAGAATTAATTGGATGAGAATGGCAATTTGTGGATTTGTGGAATAGCAAAGGTGCCACTAGAGTGTGTAAGTGGGCAGCTGGCACAGTAGCTTTTGCCAACATTTTGTGTCAACGTGGGAGTACAGCAATATGGTAGCTGTTAACATTGTACTCAATAAATATCTCATCATATGTGAAGATATGACTAGCCTTTTGGAGGAAGAAGCTGAGTATTCTCTGCATCTGTGATGGGATTTTATGTGTCAACCCAGCAAATGTCAGCAGGCCTTCACGGGTGCTTAAATACTGTATACATAAAATTGCTTTCTTGAAATCTAGTATATCGGGAAACAGTGAAATAATAGTAAAACAATTCACACATTGAATTATCCAGAGAAAAACAGTGTAATGCTCAACGTGGCACTTTTCCTCAGCTGACTCAAACCTTAAGGGAAAACACACAGGGGCCTCCTGTTGTCAAGTGCAGGTGACAATTTTTATTACCATGACACTTGGTTTCTATGTGTTATATATGTGCATCTGTAAAAGAGAAGCACTTAAGTAATTTCCAACTTTTTTTTTTTTTTCTTTTAGAAATTGGGAGGATGTTAAAATTATTGGTTTAGGACCAAGAAAAATTGTTTCTCTTTCACATGAATTTAATACATTTCATAACTATTAGAGTTAAACAACAAAGAATACTGTAGATAAAAATGGCACTAGACCTCAATGGGGTATGCTTCTACAACTATTTCTTGCCATGAGGTTTCCTTCTCCGTATCTTTTACAACCTTTACACAAAGCATTCATTACATTCTTCTGTTAGGAAAAAAACCCATATCTGATGTTAGGTTTCTGTCTTCTAGTCATATTCTGTTTTCATTTTGCCATGGCATTTCTCTCTGTGACGAGCGCGCCTACCCTTCTTCTCCACCTTCTTCAAAGGGTCTTCTTTCTGTGCCTCAGTCTACCACTGCTGCTATTCTGCATATCATACCTACACAAATACTCATTTTGAATAATTCCCAGAGCCTGATGCTCTATACTTATGCCATATACATTCCCTTAGAAGAAAGTTCTTGATAATCAAAATTTAACGTGACATAAGCAACTAAAAAAGAAAAAAAAAATCAGCACTTTGGAGAGCCAAGACCACTAAGATTTTCAAGAAATTATGTCTATGAAGCTTCAAAAAAGCTGATTTATAGTTGCAAATAGCAGCAAACACAGAACTGGAGCATACTAAAGATATATACTATAACACTTCGCTTGATCTTTTAGTCCATTTCATTAAAAATGAACTCACTAGATTTAATAAGGTGACAAAAATTGTTATTTATTTTCAAGACCTATGAAAATACCCTAGGTTAATCAATTCCTCATTTTCATTTCTTTCTACATTGTCTACTTGTATCTTGCTACTAGCGTGTACATGAACCGCAGAATAATCATGCTTTATAACACTGGGAAATTCTTAAACAAATGCAACAAAATGTTCTGTCAAGCCACTAGTAAAAAGAACTGGCTGCTCAAGTAAAGAAAATTTTCCATTCAGTAGTAATGGTGCTTAACCACTCTCCAAAGCAGTTTCCAAAATGAGGATTCTACCCACAGAACTTCACCCATGTTTTTAATTTTACATTCACAAAATCATATGCTGTCTTTTATGAAAGAATTTGGGAATGTAAGTGTTGCATTTAAAAGAAAATTTGGTGTAAGGTGGTGGAGGAAAAAATGACAGTACTAAATAACAGCGCTACTTCAAAATAAAATGACTTATTAAAGTTCTTTGGCTACTGTGATGGACAAAAATGCTCTTATATGCATAGGAAATTAAGTTTTATAGTTTCACATGCAAATATAAGAAGGGCCATTTACACTTCCTTACTGAAAAGTTAATGGTTTGCACATTCCCTAATAAAATACTTTCATTAAGTCTCATTAGTGTAGCGATTTTCATTCACAGTTATTGTCATAAGTAAAAAAAAGGAAGGTACTTTCTCCACCCTATCCCTTAAGCCTGAAAGCTTGAAATTTAATCTCTAGGGAAATACAAAACTGCAACATTTCCTCACACCAAAAATCAAAACACAAAATTGCACCTTCTGATTGAAAATGAAGATCCTGAAATGTTGCTCCGGAAAGTGAGATACCAGCAGACTGATTTTAGCAGCAGGCAGCCAAGACAGACTATGGCAGAAACGAGTATGCTTTTTTAGTGTATAGGGCCAGCCAACTGCCTGAGAAGAGCAAAGAGCTCATGGGGACAGGCCAGCCCCAGGGGGGACAGGGGAGTGGGGAGCCCAACCGCCCCACAAAGTCACCACTTCTCTTCCAGCTGGAGACCAAGGCTGTATTGTAAGCTGCCTCATTTGTATTTACTGAAGAGGTAAAAGAGGAGCCTCGTGCAGCCATCACCGGTCTGGATGGGCAGCAAAGAAGTTGAGGGATGAATCTACTACTTGTTCTCTCCCACGGTGTTTCCCGTGTCCCAAGGACATGGGAGAGCCCCATCAGTCTGAGTGCGTACACTCACACGTTGCAGAGATGGCTGAAATGCATCACTATATCTGCTGTTCCAGCTCTGATTTCTCTTTTTGAGCAGAAACTACCTAGGGAGTTAAGTCTGGCTTGTAGCCAGCCCGTGGATAGAGATCCTATCCTGTATATGGTGCTGTATGTTTGTGTGTTTGACAGTGACAGAATACAGCTTAAGCCATGGCTGTACCGGCCATCTGTCTCCAGTGTGGCTTCCAAGTGCCCAACAAGTCTTATGAGAAATATCAATACTGTAAAATAACATTTTGTATAGAAGGTACTCTTCCATGAGATATACAGTGTTACTCTGGACAAGTTTTCCTAATCAAGCAGTAAGCAATCTTGTATAGGGACATTTGGAACTTAATATCCTACATAACTAGCTTTCCAATAAGAATTTAAATGAAAAAAAGAATACCAGTAAATCAAAGCATGCTGACTCATGTGAGATTCATGAAAAAGGAAGATTATATGCATGAATCTGACATAGAGCGTAGGAAGTGTTGAGAAATTTATAAAGCCAAGTACTATTCACTCTTCACTGTGCAATGAACCACTACTCCAGTGGGTTTTTATAATCCTAAGAGTACTTGAAGCAAAACCACTTCAGCTGCACAGTAAAAGCACCTATTTCTCAAACTAGGTGCCAAAATAAATAGTCTGACATCCTACCCAGTAGAATAGATCATTCTGCACATATATAAATAAATAAAACTCCACTCAGAAAACAAGCAACAGACAAACAAAAACCTCCTTTATCCTTGGGCATCTGGGCTTCAAAGACATTCAAATCGAAGAGAAAAAAAAATCATATTTGAACTTTATCACATGCTAAAGAACAGGTCTATCCATCCCTTCAGAAGAGGATACCATCTCTTACATCTTATTCCCAAATTACATACATTTACTGCTCTCCTCCATAAATAAATAAACATACTAATTTCATGGAAGCAGCCATAACCTTTTGAACAGATGGGAAACCTGATGGACCGAGATGCAGTGAATCCCTTACTTGCTGATTTCAGGAAGGGAAACTTTTAGTTTTGAAAGTTGTTTTCAGACAGTTTTCAAACTTCATAGCTTAGGAGAAGATCAGAAATGTAGAATACAATTTTATGTTGTTAAACTCTGAAGACGTGTGGGAACCAGGGGAAAAAAAAAAAAGTAATGTAAGCAGAGTAAAAATTTAAAGAAAAATGCACATCAGATTTGCCTCTATAATGTGGGTATTCCCACTCAAATCCTTCAGTCCTTGCATACTCAGGATTGAATCAAGCCATTTAATTCTACAATAAATTCTCCTTCTGCTCCGCACAGCATCACTATTCCCCACTTTCTGCATAGCAGAGCTTTTCACTGAATCTCATTTTCCTTGCAGGCAGTGAGTCATGTTCTTCCAAGCCCCTCCATCCTGGTTTCTCTGCTCTCTTTGTCATCTTCACCTCCTAGTTGCTCAGCACTTTTCTAACTCCCTTTCCTCCCTCTTTCCAGTTTCCCCCTGTCCCAGGGCTGCCGTACCTCCTGCGCAGGGTGACTGGCTGGGATCCTTGCTTGAGGAGCCCCCCTCGCTCACGCTGGTGATGGCAACTTCTCCGTGGGCCCTTTCCCTGGCAGAGGGCTCTGCACTGCCCTCCTGGTGCTCCTCCCCCAGCTCCCGCCAGCCTCCTCATTCAGGCACAGAGAAGAGAGGTTTTGTTAAAAGTTGTGTTGGGGCCTCACGCGGGGAATGGTCCTGCCCACTCTGGCCACCAGCCAAACACCAAAGGCACCCGACGTGAAGGATCAGTAAGGGACCTGGGATGCTACTAGTCCCATCCCAAAGCCAAGGCAGGTGTGAGCTTGGAGCTCTGAAGGCAGGCTGCCTCCCCAAATCCCTCTGCAGTCAGCGCTCCCCGGTGACCTCCCTTTCAGTACGCATAGTCTCTGGGTACCAGCACTGGGGAGGGTGAGCAGGGGAGAGGAGGAGGTGTCTGCGCAACCAGGCTTCCCCTGCTGCCACTGTCATCGTATTTGCATTGCAGGGAGACGATCTGGCTGCCTTTGTGGGGCCCTTTGGCAGGAACCCAGCAGCCTTTCTGTGCCACTGCTCACATTGTACTGCAGGAGTATAAACACAGGCTTGTCCACAGCTCTCTCAACAGCTCTGGAGGAAATCCATGATTGCCCAGTGTCAAATAGGCCAGAGAAGCTGGGCTACTTTCTGTACACCAGCTACTGTCTGTATCCTAATTCCCTATCTCTTATAGGAATGTGAAAGTTTGCTGTTATCAGAGAAATAGGACAAGGGAATATGATGGGACTGCAATAAATATTCTCTGAATTTGATGCTACAGAATTGTCTTTAATGCTCCACTGTTTCTAGAGACACAGACTGGACAGTGTTTAACATTTCTCAGGACCATGCAAAGGTGCCACACAGATAAGTAAATGAGAAAACACATAATGTTTGAGAAGAAAAAAAAGACAGTTACTAGTGTGAGGAGAAAATTATTTTAAAACCAGAAAAGACCATCTCAACCAATCCTCTCTCTACCCTACAAATATTCAAAAGCATAAAATATGTTATCAACACTCTGCTTCCTCCTGTCTAATCTCTCTTTGACAAGGAGGATAATCCTAGAAAACATAAAGATAAGATCTTTCATCTACCTAGAAGTCTTAATACCCAACTGCTGAGCACTGTATATGAGCTACCAGAGTGTTACGCTGACTTTGCACAAACTTGAGTGACCACACAAACTTCAAGGCCTAATAACACAAGAAATAGATCAGAAAAAAAAAATAAAAATCAGCAAGGTTGGCCCTCTCCAAGCTTTGGTATCTCTAGACTGGAAAAAATTGCCCTGTACTTTCTGAACTTAATACATGGACTTGAAACCCTCTGGCCTCCCTTGTGGATCATTCTGCCTCCTACAGCTGTAACACAGGTGCTGGTCTAGTCTTCTGGATGTCAGACGTCGCTTAGGCCCCACCACGTACAGACCAAGAGCTAATGTTGCTCCTACAGTATACTCTGGGGAAATTCCAGGACCTTTAACAGAAGCTGGTGTACGTGTTATAGCCCCAAATTATGGTTTGTTTGTTTGTTTTTTTGTTTGTTTTTTTTTTTTTTTTTCATTTCCTCTGTTATCACTTAGGCAGAGTTGCTTTGCCTCCAAGGAAAGCCCTTCCTGGACGTAGAACCTGAAATCCAGGAAAGTGTCGGAGTGGCAGCAGGACCTCCGTCCGCTCCTTTGCCTGTCCCACAGCGGAGCAGGCAGAGGGGTGAAGCACACATGCTAACATACTGTAAGATAGTGATTTAGCTGTCTGTAAAACAGAACATGACAGTTCATGAGTAACCCCTTTTCTACAAAGACAAAAGGCAGGATTCTCCTGTCGACTTCCCCATTGCTGCAGTGATCTGCTGATCAGACTCTTTGGAAACTGATGTAAATTGTCTTTATTCCACTGTCTTCAGTGAAGCTAGACAAATTTATACCCACGGAGAAACTAATCCTTACACATTGCTGCAGTAGTGTACTACTATACAAAGGAATATAGTTACAAAATTGCAGTGCAAATATGGATATGAAAAGAAAAAGAATCCTTCTCTTCCCTAAAAGCTGTTACACCATAATATTTCTACAGGACCATAAAAGCACAGGCTACAGACTTTATCCTCTCTACCTTTCCTCTGAAATTAACATTGTTTTAAACAAACTGAAACTTAAAATTTTTTTTTCCTATCCCAAATCTGTTACTATTCCCCGGTCTGCATTTAATGTTTAATAAGGAATTAAATATGTACTCTGATCAAAAAATCAATTTCCTTTTGACTTACCCAAATGTTAAAACTGCACTTCTGTGGCAAAGAGATGGTGCTCTGAAGAACAGAGCCATCTACAGAAATCTTTTTGATAATGGTGTCCTTCTTTCAAATCCAAACATTTCCTTGATGTAGAATACAAATTGAGCTCTAGTGTATAAGTCAGCTAGGATTTCAAAGTTGGCCTTTATACTTTGTCATTAATTAATTCCGTCCAAGAAATTCAAACAAAGATACAAACAAAAAAGTTCTCTAAATGCGTTACATAAGGCATTCAGAATATTCCAATTCATTCCCCTCCAGGAACACAGCAGAGTCAAAGAATAGTGTACACAGCATGTTTAGACTGTATAAAAAGCACTAGAAACTGTAAGAATAGTTTAAACCCTATTTATTTAAAGCTCTCTATTATAAGAGCTATTGTAGAGTATTTGCTAATCAATCTACACTTCTGAGTTCTAAACAATTGCTGGCTTAATGAAGTGTACTTTTTTTCACTTTCAGATGCAGGAACAAAGAGTTTCCTATTAAAAGGGAGGAAATGAAAGCAGAAGGCAGAAGACCTCTTCCAAAAATTACTGCAGCTTCTGAGCAATTTAAATATTGAATAGAAAGTCAGAAACTTTTATTTTGGATCTCTTTCTTTAGGGGGACAAAGATCTGAGAAAGAGACTTTCTTTCCCAAGACATCCTGTGTACAGCTTTAAGTCAGGTAAGATAAGTGTTCTCTCAGATACAGTGAGGAAAGCCTCCCAAAATCTGTCAGGGAAAACTCAATACAACTTACTCCAGAGGTTTTTTAAATCTCATTTTATTGCAACTATCACAACATAACTAAAATAGAAGTTGAGAAAAGAGGTCAGTGGTCAGTCAGTATAGAGATCTTTCAAGCTGAGTAATTGAAAAGGGTTTTTGCTGGGGAGTAAACAGAACAGCATGGTGTAAGAACACTGCGGATATGTCTATTCAATCTGAAAGCAAATGAAGAGTTTTCTTTTTCTCAAGATTTACTTATTCCAATTTACAGAAACACAAGGGAAACTTATCCCTTAACATCTTTGGCATAAAACTTAGCAGTATTCACTCACCTGAAAAACATATCTAGTAGTCAGGGGAAGAGGCAGAGTCACAAATGCTATGTCAGACCAAAAAACAACGTGAAAAGTAGACTCTGCTGTGTTCTCCACTACCCCACAATACACAGATGCCACCTCCCTTTTCTGTGACATTGTGACAGTCTTTTATAAGAGGCCACAGCAAAGTTGATACCACACAGTGCTACAAGCACCATTAACTTCTGTGAGATTTCCCAAACTCGTTATCTCCTACTCTTAGCATTTTATTCTTTGGAGCCCAACTCACAGAGAACTAACTTCTGACAGCTTCTTATTTGTGCTAGGATCTTATATGATCATCATTTTTGTGTAGCCCATCTGATTATTTTCTTGTAATTTTATTTACTGTGCGGTAAGACCTAAGAAGGTCCTACACCAAACTGTCTAATTTATATGACTTAATTTCTAACACTTGATTGCAAACATTGCAGCATGAAAAAGGACATATTTGACATTCTCTTGGTTTTTTATTTAGAGGTAGACCCTCAATAATGGACAATCATAAGAAGGTTTTAGGTTAGAATGACTTCTACCATTTCCTGCGACTGTGTCAGAGGATACAATTCCTAAAAGGAGAACAGAGCTTAATTCCAGTGCCTACATGGGTTTAGGGGACCATGCATCTTTCTATTTTTCTTTTATTACGTTTATGATAACTGTGGCTTATGAATCACTATATTTCCATCATGCAAATTTGAGGTTTTTTGGATTTGTTTTTAACATCCGTTCTGGTTAGTGCAATCTGTTTAAATATTCATTGATGCCCTTTAGGCACTGAAAGGCATAGAAAAAGTTTCACATAAATACTGTAGGAATCAGCTACTGGTAACAATCTAAACCCAAAACAAGAAAAGATCAGTGATTTCCCTCTTCCCTCCCTGTAATAAATTCTAAATGCCCTGATTCAGTCTTCATTATTCAGCCTTTCTAGTCCACCTGAAAACTGAAGATTCAGCTAAAACCATACCTTGACACGTGCCTGAACATATCATTCTCTTCACTTAAATATAGTAAGTCCAAAGGAAGCTGATACCTGCATTCTCATAGTTTATCTATCTGAATAGCTTTGTGGTCTCTCATTCAAGAATTTAGATTTTCTCTGAGGCACGTGGCCTGAAAATGAATCTGACACAATATAAACCCTTTTATGTAATTGCAAACCTTCATCTCATCTTTCATGTAAAAACAAAAACTCCCTGCTGCTACTGCCTCTCACACTCAGTCTAAATATCACTGTCATGTTATAACTTGGCAATGGGTTAATCTGCCTATACTTTGTACTCGATAAAGACAAGAAATTGTTGCTTGACTTATTGTCTAGAAATTTTGTACAGTGTCTCTCTTTATGGTTTGGAAAAAGATAAAATACTTCAGGAAATAATAACTAATCACCACAAGGATTTTGTGAAGGATAAACAAAACCATCTGTGAGTACCAATGAAATGTTGATTCTGATGGGACATGATCAAGCAGGAATTGTACTCCAAGTCAGAAACAAGGTAAAAAGTGTTCATGAAACCATGGTAGGTTTTGATATTAACATGGGTTTCAGAGGAAAGAGGAAATTCCAGTTTTCTTAAGGAAACAAAATCCCTATGATCCCACATAGCTTTGCGATGTATAGACAGATATTCAAGCATGAAAAGCAGGCTGCAACATTTGTCCATGGAAAGTAGCATCATGCCACAGAAATCTGTATTTTTATTGTGACTACAATTTATAGACTACATAGTCTGGTGTGGTGACAGATGAATACTTCTGCAGCGTAGTGTGGAATGACTGCCGATTATGCTAAGGGCTCTGTAAGAAAGGTTTCCATGACAGCATTCTGTGTATCATTGGTATTTTGGAAATAACATTCAGTTTTGATCTCTGACTTCCACAGATTTTGCTGTTCCCATGAAACGTTATATCTGAGCAGA